TTTTATTTTATTATTATTTTTAATATTTTATTATTATATTTATTTATTTATTTTTTCGTCCCCCCTCCCTGCTTGTTAGCTGGCTGGGGAGGGGGGCTCTCCTTCCCTGGTGGTCCAGTGGCATTGGCAGTTCAGTGGGGGGAGAAAGGGGACTGGCAGAGCTGTTACTTACCTCTCCTGCAGCTCCTGTCAGCTCTCTCCTCCTCCGCGCCGGTCCGTGCAGCTCTTCTGGCAGCCCACACTGTAAGTCTCGCGAGAGCCGCACTATGACCCCGCGGCTCTCGCGAGACTTACACTGGGAGCTGACCGAGGTGCTGACCGGACCGGCGCGGAGGAGCAGGGAGCTGACAGGAGCTGCAGGAGAGGTAAGTAACAGCTCTGCCAGCCCCCAGTCTATATTATGGCAATGTAAATTAATGTAAATTGCCATAATACAGACAGTGACTCGAGTATAAGCCGAGTTGGGGGTTTTCAGCACAAAAAATGTGCCGAAAAACTCGGCTTATACTCGAGTATATACGGTATTTAGGTCAAGAAAATCCTCTCTGTACATTTTATTTTTTTTAAGCCATATATGTACCACTTACCATTCTAGTAGCCCTCTTTTGAATAGTCTTGAGCTTATTTTTTACCATTGTTGAAATATGGTTCCTGGAAATGTATACAATATTCCAAATGAAATCTCACCAGGCATCTTTAAAGAGGTGAGCAAACCTTACAATTTCCGCTATGAATAAATCTATGAATACAATCATTCTGTTGGCCTTAAATGCTACTCTACTGCATTGTTTAGATTATTTAAAATCATCTGAAATAAGAATTCCCTAGACCCATTCTGTTCATCTTCTGTTACTGTCAATGCAGTGTCATTAAGTGCATAATTTACCTTTGGAATTTTGAATATTAAATTTTAAAGTTTCCATTTTGCAATGTGGACTTTTAGATTTGTTCTTTCATTTCACTGTTTATTTTATCCAACCCCCTGGAACATCAGCTCAGCATGTTCCCACCATCATTTGGTCCACAGATGAAATGAGCAATAGAGAGAAAAAAGGAGATGTAAAAAAAATAAATTATATTTACATATTTCTTAAATATATAAAATAAAAATTATAGATTTTTTTGATTACTTTCTACTTCATCTGTGAATCAAATTAACATTGAGGGACTGTCCCCTAGCCATCAATCGTCTTTTTTTCCTATCAACCATGTCTTTTTTTTTTGGCACCATGAGAATGGAATTCAAAATCACGTCCCGAAATAAACATGTCCGTCCATGGTGCGTTTTGGTTGGTTCGTGATACGTTTACATTTTGGAGTTTTGGAATTTGACTGATCACCCCGATCAGCCCAAGTTCGGACGAACTGCAGTTCTGGATAAAACAAATGTCCAAATCTAGAAATAAAAAAACAAAAAACATGACCCCTTAGTTGCTAACAAGCATGCAACCTGTATGACAATTTGCTTTTCGAGTAGAACTCGAACAAAAATAAAATAGATCCCGGAAATACTGACCTTCACTGTATATATATGTTTTTGTCACTGTTAAACCATGTCTTGTAAAAAGCATCACAAAGTTCTAATAGTAGAACAAATACTAATGGAACCAATGGAATGTCTGCGCTTATTCCATTAAATCCCTTAGTGAGTGGTCCTTTAATTAGCACTTACCAGTGACAGTTTTATAAAGTCCCCCGTGTCTGTATATAGTTTATATCATTAGCTCATCACACGGATAACAAAATTGTGAGTGCATTTGTAACAACTACCATAAGTAGTTTTTAAGAGGTATTTGTAGAGGGTGTATTTTTAAAGAAGTAGAGCAACAATTAGTGTGGAGAATAGTGTTCTTATTCTTATGTCTTTTCTTGTGTTATCTACAGTGTTGATCCTGCTAATCCTGGCTCTCAAGCGGCACCATCAGGGCCACCTGATATCAGATGAGGATGAAGACATGAGGGACAATGTCATCAAATACAATGATGAAGGAGGTGGGGAGCAGGACACTGAAGCATATGACATGTCTGCATTGCGCAGCTTGTATAATTTCAGTGAGGGGAGTGAAGCTGGTGGAGACAGCACCCTTGCCTCCCAACGTCATCCATTACCCCAGTGGTTCCCTGGAGCTGAGCTGGACTTCTCACTCTTTAAGGATTACATCAGTCGGAAGGTGAGGCTAGCGGATCAGGACTCATCAGTGCCTCCATATGATTCCTTCCAGACTTATGCCTTTGAAGGCTCAGGCTCCAGTGCTGCCTCTTTAAGTTCCATTAGCAGCTGGTCTACAGGCTCAGAACAAGACTTCTCCCAGCTGGGCTCTTGGGGGCCCAGATTCCGCCAATTAGCTGCACTATACGCTGGACATAGAGGGCAAGAGGAAAGCCAGGGGTCCTAGCCCCATGTGTGCCCCTTTTATCAGGGTACCAAAATAAGACCTTATGCCCTAATTGCAAGGGCAGAACTGATCCATATTTATTACATATCAGTATGTAATTGCAACAGCATACTACACAGCTTCCTATGTCCTTAAAATGCCATCAGTATATTACACAGCTTCCAATGACTCATTAGGCATCCGAATTTTAATTACCCAATAACATCATTTCTCCCAATACACTGGTTGTTAAAATATATTGTATGTCAGTATACACAACACAACACAATCTTTACAACACAGCAGTCATGTCAAATGCATCTCCCTCATTCTTGCACATCCTATACGCATTCCGCATCCAGACATAACTGCTCAGCTTCCATTCATTCCATCTGAGACTTTTACCCCATGCAGATCACAGCTGAGTCTAACAGGGTATTCCCGGTGGAATTTACACTCAGTCGACGTGGAGAATACAGACAAATCCGGAGTATTGGCTGTCAATGAATTTGTACATAGCACCACCTTTCATTATATCAATTATTGGATCTGTTGACTGTAACATCAAGTTTGTGCAGTGCAGTTATTAAGACTGTATCTCCTAAAGTGCACTGCAGCAGCTCCCGAAAGCAGCATCGTAAATTTATCATGTTTCCTCTGAAGGCAAAATAAAAAAAAAGAAATCTTCTACTAACTACTGATATGTGTCTCTATGTGAACAGGAATATGGTAGCAGAGGAGTTGATTGTCAGCCACAGTAAAAGAGGTACTAACTGTCTCCCCGTAGGCATGATAGTGTAGCTCAATAGTTATCTTGATGTAAGGAGAAATAATACGCAGATGTGATATATTTCTATGTACCTCATTTTTGCAACTATTGCAACATCTCATGAATGTTGAATTTCTACATCTACAAGGACGTTGAAGCAATACTTGATACAAGCAATGTTTTAAGTTCTACACGTCAGCTTTATGCTTTGGTATTACAATTTTCTTGTCTTTAACCCCATGCAATACCAAAATCAAGTATAAACATTTTTATTTTCATTACACTGTAGTTATGATTACCAGCCAATAGAGGAAGAAATTTCACTGCCGGAAGCCACATGTCGCTGATATAATGCCTTTCAAATTGCTGAAAATGTCTGCTTAACCCCAGCTTTTAAACAGTACAGAAAGTTTCAATGGGTCATACAAGTCCTTCAATCAGGGAGGGGGAGGAGTGAATAGACCATTTGAATGTCAGTATTACATTAGCAGTACAGATATTGATAAAGATTGCTATAGCAGTTTTAAATTCCTTTATTTTAGAGATACATCATTGAACTGTATTTACTGTATGTGGGCATTATGCTCAAATGCAGACAGTCTTTTTACATTCTATTGCCATTTTTAATAAGTCAGGTTTTTATATAATTTTTTTACATATTTGTCATTTTTTTTTAAAATATTTGATGATGAAATATTATTATATTATTTGTGAGGTGATAGTTGTCCTGCAAGGAGCACTCTAATAAAATAATATCTGTGTATATATACATACACACACACACACATATATATATATATATATTTTTTTTTTTTTAATTTATATTTTTTTTAATTAATGTATTTAATTTTAATAGATGTGTTCCTTTATGAAAAAAAGTTTAAAAGACACATCCATAAAGCACTGATAAAGTGCCTATGAGTGAGGAGTATCCTATAATAACGACAATTTAGAAAGGTGCCGATTTCTATTACAAATCGGCACATTCATAAATAATTAATGAATCAATAATTAATTAAATACATTTTTGACAGCCAGGGTGTGAGCTAATGGAAGTGGCAGGTGTGCTCTACTTGCATACCTCAGACTAGCGTCCAGTCCTCAGATCAGTATGCTCCCTCACTAGCCGGTGCATGTGAGCACTAGCTGGTGCACGCCCACACAGCAGACATGTGTGCACGCACAGAGAGAGCCCTTCAGAAGCCGCGATTGCCTATTTCCATGTGAAGAGACTGCAAGTCATTTCCAGAGAAAAGGGGGTAGAAGGGTGCTTGCAAAGGCTGCAGTTCAATAGAAAATGCATGCATGTATTCACTGATGATATATCAGTATTTCATATATATGAATAAAACTTGCGGAAGTCCCCATAGCAAAGCATTAATTTAATACTTTCCTACAATGCTTGTTTATAAGGAGCAATAGATTGGACAGTGGCGGAGGACGATATGACCACTCTGTGATGTTATGAAATGTGGAAATAGGTGAGTAAAACTTTTTTTTTTAAATGCACACAGGGTGTGGACCTGAAAAAAGGAGGGGCAGATTTTATATTCCTAACACCATAGTGTTCGTTTAAAGCCCCCATTACATGCATATCTAATGTTTTTTTCCCAGAGAAGTAAATCACTCCTATCGCCATCAAAACAGTGGTGTTACAGTTATATATAGGATAAGATAAACTTTGTACAGACTATCTTAAGCCAATCTTAAGCCAAGTATAACAAGCCTGTTTGTTGCCCTGCATGATGTATATTTATAAGCTACTCTAATTAAAGGGCAAGGGCGATCACTATAATCAGAATGCTATTAACTTAGATTTTAATAATGTTAAATTGCAGGCTCATCAGGATGCCAGCCTTCTCTTTAACAGAAGTTTACAATGGATTTTTCAAATTATTCTTCTCGTATAATGTCTTATGTTAATTGTTTTCCATTTTTGCTGGGCCTTCTATTTTTCATGTTTCTTATCATTTTTATGTTTTGTTTTTAAATTATTATTGCTCTCTCCTAAATTGCCATTTTCACGGATCTCCTTTCCTCTCACCGTTCATTCCTTCGTCCCTCCAATGTCTCCTCATCTCTGCTCCCTCCTCATCTAAATTCGCGCAAACTGAATTAATGTGCCAGCTAATCAGGATCTGGTCGGATTTCACTCTGTCCTCATTTAATTAAGCAGCTTCACCAGTTTCATTTTCCACCAATTAGTTTGCAGGGTGGATGCAAATTAAGATATTTGTTCTTTTTTTCAAGTCAAAAGAAAAATCCTTTGAGGCTCTTATTAGTTTTTCTGCTGAAAAGGAAAAAATCATTTAATCAGAGGAGGCCTCAGAGACCCGTAAAGCAGAGATGTGGGGGAGGTGAGCAAGAGAGAGGGAGAGAATCGGAGCAGAGAAAAGAAGTGTGAGATACAGCCAGCATCGGATGTGTGTATTCAATCAGATACATTGTATCTCCAAGACTTTGAAGGCAGATTTTGCAGGAGTGCAGAATTGTAAACATGATGTTATTATATATGACGGTGGTTAAGCTATTAACAATGTTAGGTTAAATAACTTTTATAATCTTTATTGTATTTTAAATTATAAATCAGTATTACTGAAGGTTTGTTTTTGGTTTTTCTTAATCTTCTTTCCATTTAAGAAATATAATTGTGGATCTCAGCTTGTTGCGCTGTAAAGAACAACAATAATTTAAATTGTATGGAAAAGAAAAGGCTTTCTTGTTTAAAGGGACACTATAGTCACCCAGACCACTTCAGCTCAATGAAGTGGTCTGGGTGCCAGGTCCCTCAGGTTTTAACCCTTCAGATGTAAACATAGCAGTTTCAGAGAAATTCGCATCCAGCGTGCAGAATGTCCATAGGAAAGCAGAAATGCTTTTCGCTCCACTTGGGAGCTGATGTCGGTGGGGGAGGAGAGGTCACCAGGAGGGTGGAGGCACCCTTAGGGCACTATAGTGTCTGGAAAACGGGTGATCCTTTAAAGGAAGGTATGTACCCAGCTTGACAATGCTGCGTCTTTGCAGACATTAACCAAATGCAATCCCAGGTCATGTGATTATTTTTGTTATTAGGTTTTCACACCTTCCAACTCTAGCATCCAGAGAAGCTTGATGGCGATGGGAGGGGTGTAAAGCGGGTAGGCCAGTGATGTAATCAGGCCAGGCTGCCTGCCAATCATTTCGGCCAGGCAAATTAGTGCCCAAAACTTAGCGCAAGTACGTCTAATAATGTTCTCAGTTCCCTGGTATCCCCAAAAGAATAACACCAAGGACCTAAATCGGGATGGCAGGACAGGACCCAAAAAACGCAGAAATCTGGACAGTTGGAAAGCATGAGTTTTAGAAATAAATGTGTAAATCTTCATCAGCACTCCAAAAACCATCATATATTTGTCTTTTGTTCCTCAGAATGGTTGACTCGTGGTAGTCTATAATCAGACAGTTTAAAAGAGTCTAGGCAGAACCAAATAACAGGTTGACACGTTTCACACTTTGTAATAAATATATAGCTCTTTATTTAAATTCCAAAGGCTGGCTTGGATCCAATAATTGGACTCCTCTTGACTTAACCAGTTCCAAGAAGTATCACAGCCCAACAGACCAACATTCCAGATGGCCATTGGCACAAAGATCAATGGCACTCTCTCTAAACAAGTCAGATGAGGAGTGAGATGCTGTTTTTCTGTGGACAACAGTGACACATACAGGGAGCTACTGCATGTGCTAGATTTTGTTTACCTATGATTGACTGAACACAAAGTCAGCACTTGAAGGGCTGGAACCATCTTTATGATGTGTGATATACTGTATATATGTGTTATACGAAGCAGACAACAAGGTAGCAGGGACACCACCATTCCTTCCATACACACACACACACAGTCACTAGGATAGACAGATATATATATACATATTTAATTAACCTTGTATGTTAGTAAGTCAAGTGTCACTCGTACAGATTTACTTAGATATTTCAAGGAACATGCCAAGCACTATAACTACTACCTAAAAATGCATAGTTCAGGTTTTATGAGACACAAACTGTTGCATATCTTCTGGAAGAATACAGTTTTTAATCTTAGGTATGTTTCTCAGTTTGAAGAGAAGTTGATTGCTGATGATACTTTTGATCGGTTTTAAGAAAAAGCTCATAATGAAACAGCACATTCATCGACATTAAATTCTCTATACCTGTCAAGAAAGTTCTTATGTCATTGCAAGTCTGACCCAAGCATGACTGGTTTCAATGCAGTGTCTCTTTAGTCAGCAACCTATCTCAGCCATAGAGTAGGCTTCGTAGTGTTCGCTATGTAAAAATGTGGAAAGAGGCCACGTGTAAGTATATCGCATCAAGGCATTGGGCAAAATTCCTCCACCTTCCTTTGACAGCATTCCATTGAGATGTGGAGAAGGCAGGTCTGGGATGAGGTTCTAATGATTTAGAGCAGGGGTAGGCAACCTCCAACAATCCAGATGTGGACTACATCTGGCCTGGTGCTTTGCCAGCATTATGGCTGTAAGAGCATAATGGGAGATGTAATTACCTACCTTTGATCTATAGCAGTGGTTCTCAAACCAGTCCTCATGGCCCACGAACAGTCCAGGATTTATGTATTTCCCTGTTTTATTCCAATGGAGATACTAACAAAACCTGGACTGTTGGTGGGTCTTGAGGACTGGTTTGAGAACCACTGCTCTATAGGAAGGAGCAAAAGATCTTCTTATTCTGTTTTGTATGACCAACTATACCTTGACAGAGGAAACTGCTCTCCCTAGTGGAGAAGGAACAGTGCCAATTATATTGGTCTGTATAATTTAAGAATACATAGGATGCCATGGAAAATAGGGCATTACTACAACGTCAATGCCAAATCAATGGTGGTGTGATGGTGAGTTTCACACCCTGACTTACTCACACTATGGCTGTTTAAGGAACAGGCCATGGTTAGCAGGCACAGCATGCTGTGATGCTCATGGCTGCCACTAAGATAAGTAAGATGAAAGTCTCCACATGTTCTGCGAGGAGACGAAGAGCTGAGCAGTTTGTGCCTTGGTTCTTTGTGTCTTTGCTTCTTTCTATTAGCCAGGGCTCAAAATGGAACCTAGACATGTTTCTGTATTTTTCCTATAATAGTTTGATAACTAGATATACCTCAAAACAGAGCTATGCGTTTGGGTTTTTGTTTTTTTGTAAGATAACAATCCAAGATATTGTGGGAAATAAATTTTAATTCATAAATATGTGTTTGCCAACAGAGGAAACAAAATAGGATCAGCTACATCCCATAATTAAAACAATGTTCTACGTATATAGAATTATGTCTATTTAATTAACATGTTGAAAATAGTTTCTCAACTTTAACTGAGCACGTGTCTCATCTTGGACCCCACAACTGAGCATTATTTTTTTCCCATGTGGTCAGTTAAATCAATATTGTCGTTAACATGTTTATTTAAAATATTAAAAAACAAAAGCTTATAAAACTGGGAAACAATGCATCAGTGGCAATTAGGGCCGGGTTTCTGGTCATTTTTACTTTGCTATAACAGGAGTTACTGACTTTTTACACATTTTGACACAACTTTTACAGATGTTTCTGTCTGTGTGCCCTGATCTTCATCAGTAATCTATTACCTGCTGCGGTTCACCTCATTATGTCCTGGGGGATATAATGCTCTCTGAAGTGAGAAATGTCTAGTTCCAGAACACTTGATAATAATACTGGATAACATGAGATCTGAATGTAAATCCAATTGCACTGCTGGTTAAGAGCTCTGAATGAAACAATAGGTCTGTTAATTAGATGTTGTAATAGCTTTACATTTGTATATTATAGCATTGGCAGAGTTTGTAATTCATTTAAGCTATGACTCATAGAGTCTCCTTTTTTCGAAGCTGGGACGTAAGATGTGATGTCCTCGTCCTTGGGGTCATGAATGCATGTCATGAAGTGATCTCTCCAACCCCAACCACATCTATCTGTGGTCCAGGACCCTATAGTTAGGTCCATCTGTTGTACACCATGCTTTGGGTCAAGGATAGGCAACCATAGCTCTACAGATGAGGTTTTGCGCAAACATTGGACAATGATATGATATATATTAGGGTCCGTTAAGCTGACCCTTCTTGTGTAATGGGTTTTCTTTGTTCTGTCCTTAGAAGTGGTGAATGAGAGTAATAGCCAGTGCTATGGAAGATTGTTAGAAGATAGAGAGGATTGCTGCAGATCTGGGATTTCTAAGACCTCCCAAAGGATTCACTCCTATTACTATCATTCACCATTTCTAAGGACAGAACAAAGAAAACCCATTACACAAGAAGGGTCAGCTTAACGGACCCTAAGGAATATATCATATCATTATTCAACGTGTGCGCAAAACCTCCTCTTTTTATCCAATTTTGTACATGTAAGTGTTTTTAAGGTGACTGAAACACTGGTTTGGTTTTTAGACGCACTGGGATTTATTGTTCTTTATCTAAGTACGTATTGCTTAGCGCCATTTCACCTATTTTGTGTGTGGTGATAGCTCTACAGATGTTGTGGATGCTTTGCCTATGGCTATGAGAGCATTATGGGAGAAGTAGTCTACCACATCTCGAGTGCCGAAGGTTGCCTACCCCAGCTGTAGATGTACAGGGGGGAAAAGGAACAAAAATGGTCTGAACTAGTAACTGGACAAACTGAAAACTATAATTATACCAGACTGGCTCCTACCAGACTATCAAGATACCAAGATGCCTTTTGCCAGGCAGAGGAAGTAGAACATACCAAATAAGAATGTGAATTGGGCATAATATAACATCGGGAGTTCCTTACTTTTAGGCATTTCATGGTTCAGACTTCTAGCTGCATTCGGAATGAATAATACCACTGAGAGAAAGATCTTTTAGGCAATTTAAACAAAATACATTCCACAAAGGTTCTAAAAAAATTACAGACTGTTCATATCACACACAAAGCCAAAAGTGTAACGATTCAAAGAAAGAGCAATTATTTTTTTATATTTTATTTGAAAAAAAAACAAGGAAGTACAAAACACTTCATAAATAACCCCTTTTCTTTTTAATATCGTTTTAAAAGACTGCTTCTTGTCAATGTGTCCTAAACTATTCTCTGCTATCAAAAGAATGTGTTTCCGCTGCCTCTCTATTCAAGATATTGCATATCCTACATTTCTCAATTTCTATATAATATTAAAACATTGATTCTTGTGTAGTTTAGATAAATTTTTTGTATTATTTCCCATTTATTCACATACATTTATTCTCAAGAGGAATGACTCACCTCATCTGATATCTTTTGCTTTACTTTGATGTTATTTTTTTTTTTGTCCCTTCTCATTTTAAATCTCCAGGGGGTGTCAGTGTAGCTCCCTTATTAATTTTATTGATTTTTTTTCTTTTACAAACGTGTCCAAGGAAGACAGCCACTAGAGGTGCATTTAACCCTGCAATGTAAACATTGCTGTTTACACAAAACAGCAGGGTTACATTTGCAGGACCACTGCACCCAGACTGTCTCATTGAGAGATTTTTGAATTAGTCTCAAATTAAAGTGTACATGTCATGACTTGCAGGGTTATTCACCAGACTGAATTTTATCAAATTTAATACGAATGGTAAATTTAAAGCCAAAAAAGCTGATTTCTCCAACTAAAGTAATATCTTGACTAGTTTAGCCTTGATATTTACCATCCAAATTTAATTCACTAAAATTCAGAATTTAGTGAAAAAACCTGTTGGTGTAACCTCAGAGAATATTATTTAATCTGCACATTTATAGATAAATGTTATACTAAATTAATTTTTACCTCCCATGACTTTACTGCTATGCCATCGGCATAACAGTAACCAAAAACATATAAAGTCTCCATTGACAGCCACATGTCCAACTGCAAGGTCGTCAAGTAATACAGCATCTTTCAACAACTCCAATGTTGCATTCAACGTAGGTTATATATTTTTTGCTTAGTCAACATATTAGTGCCAGGAGACAGGGTATCCTGGTATTTGATTTCAAGGTGTTACAGGCTGATGAACACCATTAGTAAAATGAGACATTGCATTGCCAGGAAACATATGGTACCCAGTAGTGGGGATACTTAACCTACTAGTGGATTATGATAATGTCATTAAAATGCATACAAAGGTAAAAGGCTGTTTCACACCATTCTGTAGACCACAAGTCATATATGAGATGGATGAACAAATGTTTACTATTTTTCCCTTGAACCCAAGTTAGAAAATTCCCTGCATCTTCTCATAGCTGTCCTTAATGCTAATGAGCCATGGGCCCACCTCTGCTTGTGAGCCCCTTTCCTAAACCATCCCTCTACCTATGCTCCCCACATTAGTCTCCCATGTTTTTCTGACCGTAACCTGTTTCTCGTTTCCATGTGCCTCTTTTATCATTGACCTCGGGTCTATTTACATTTATTCTGTCTCTTTTTGCAGACAAGTGCTAGACGGCCACTCTAAAAATCGGTACGCATTCATACTTTATCTTTAACCTAAATGTAGTACTCCCTGCTCCACAACCACTAAAACATGCCAGAGGTTTAGAGGAAAAAGTTACTCAGCCAGAAGAAGGTATCAACATGAGAGTACTTTGAATGATTCTTCTTTGATGAGTATACATGTGACCTTGAAAATGTCTCTCCACTCCTACTCATCCAGCATTTCCATTGGGTCTGTTTGGTATTAGCTATGAAATCCAGGGTTGAAGTGTGGAGAAAAAAGAGACTTTGCTTAATCTTTTTATTCTTTTGTCTCTGTTCAATCTCTGAAGAAAATGGAGTTACCAAACAAGGGTGGTACTCCTGTTCCCCTCGGAGATAAGCCATCAGGAACCAAAGGTAAAGTAATAAAACTAAACTTGGACGTATCTTGGTATTTTGTTCTTTTTTAACCACATGACTTCTGTTAGGAACTCCAGCCTTGCTTTGGCTTCTTGTAATGTACTCATCTTGGTTTGTTCAAAGAGTAGTTGATTGCAAACAGCTTTGTGTAGTTAAGTTAGGTAAATGAGGGGTAGGAAGACCATCACACTGCTAAGGTCTGTGCAGCATAGTGTACAGCCTGATTTTACTATTTGCTTAGCAGAAACAGTTTACCGCTTAAGGTCAAATGATTATGCAGTTTCTATCCCATTCTGCCACAAGCCATCCTTGGAGACCAAAATGCCTATTTTGAGTGTAAAAAATATTATGCATTACGTGACTTTGCCGGTGCCAATTTTACATCCGTATAACATTTTTCTTCTATTTACTTCTAGGAGTCTAGATGCTATTTTCGTGTGTTGAATACTCGTCACTTACATTCTTAACAGCATTTTAAACAATATCCAACAACAAAAAATATATAATAAAGGGAAGGGGGGTGGAGGGGGTGGTCCAACTGCAACCACAGTGATGCATGATAGGTGTACTTGTGACTAGCCTAGGCATGCATGTCATCCCATGTATTCTAAGTTTTAGGCAGAGGACATCAGCTTGTTTATCAATCTGTTGTCTTCTGTCTAACGAGTTATGTCCTGCATGGAAGGTTCTGTGTGCTTATAAAGGGTTGCTCCATTACAATTACCACTTCACTGATTTGAAGTGATCATGGTGCTTGGAGTCTGTATATGCAGCATTTATTTCAGTTTGAACAAGAGAGCAATTAGCCGGGCTGGCTAATGTTAAGTCTGCGCATTATTGGAGTCTGTGGTCAGTGCGCATAGCATGCTGGCAACAGACGATCAATGGCGGCATCCCCCCAAATCCCCCATCAGCCCGTCTATCAAGACATCACCCTGCCCCTGCAGGTAGAATTTAGACTCAGTGTGGGATTCCAGATACATTTTTATTTATTTATTAATTATTTTGTCTTTTATAGTGGCGGGATGCATACCAGCTAGGGTTGCTATAATCAAAAATAGTCTTTCATTAAAACACAGTTTTTTAGTTGGAATAACCCTTTAAGCTAAATAGCAACTAGTGCTGTCAGTGTGATTTTACAATGAATCATAAAGGGTCTAGACAACAGGAATAAATAGGGATGTAACTCTGAAAGACCTCCACCAAAAGGGTTTTCACCTTTTCCCAAAAATTTTTAAAAAATAAGTACATTTTATATGTATATTAACTAAGATTGAATTAGCTGTATTAGTCCTGTAGAAAATTAACATGTGACAGACCGCCTGACACCCCGACTGGGTCCCTCTGTCAATTGCTGCTTCCTAGTACTTTCGAGTACCATAACCACAAACCACTGCAGCTTGGTTGGGGTCTCGCTGTCCTCCACCCATCCTGGACCCAAGACCAGGATCCAGCTTCCACTGGGTAGACCTCTCCTAGTCCAGAGAGCGAAGCAGGCTGCTCTTACAAGAGAAAGTGTTGTGATCCAAGGGAGTATAGTGATTATAGCAATCCCCAGAGTGAATATAGCTCTCCAATCTCCCAAACATGAGCCTAGACTTCAAGAAGGGTAAAACAAATCTGTTTAATAGCAGCCACAACTGGCCTTATATGCAGGTCCCCATGCAAGGTGCACTCCCCTCTGGACCTGAGAGTAGACTATAGTAAAAACATATACACAATTGCATTGGCTCTCAGTTCCAGGGCAATCCCATACAAAATAGGTCAATCCCTTCCCTATGCCTGGGAGATAATTGAGTCAGCACTGTACTAAACTCAATTATCTCCAGGCACAGAAAACATAAATTTTTACAAAACAGCAAAAATACCTTAAAACACACAAAACTCCCACAATAGTTACATCCCCTGATAGCTCTGATCTGGGTGACCAACATATCCAAAAATCACCCAGATCAGTTCAGGGGTTCAGGAATTTCCTGGAAGTCATAATTTGACTGACCGCCTGCATGGTCCCATGCCCAAAATAGTTTCAGAGAATCAGGGCTTACGGTCAGTCTAGTTCGGTAGTTTAAAAATGAACAAACTACCGAACAGAGTCAATAGTTTTACCCTGGAGCTTGATCCCCTTGTTCGTGGGAACGTTTCCACCGAACAGCGCCCTTCTAAGTGTTGTAGAACCGAACTCAGGCAATGCTGAAAGTCAAGCAGTGTTCAGGAGTTTCTGTGTCCGTTTTCAGTTCCATGAGATTCATGCCAAAACACCGCTGCCTGTGTTCACGGGAACAAGATGGCCGCTACCTCGTGGTTGTCCATAGGAATTGTGTCCAACCAGATGAACACTTAGAACACTGTGGTGGAAATTGCTACAAAGTAGCAATAAGGCTTAACAAGTTGCAGGTTGATCTCCGGTTCGTGCTGCTGTTCAGTTTCCGAACCAAATATAAAATCCCACAAACCAAGTTTGTTCACACAGTTTTTAAAAGGGCCCATAGTCTTTTGGTAAGAGGCTGGCCCCCCAGCAGTCCCCTCCAAGAACACGTTTGTCACAAAACATATTACTTAAAAGACAAGCTTTCGAGAGTTTCCCTCTCTTCAGAACTGAGGAGGAGAGGAAAACTCTCTCGAAAGCTTGTCTTTTAAGTATTATGTTAGTCCAATAAAAAAGGTATCATTGGATACTGCAATACTCCGGTATTTTGGCATTTTATATATATACATACATATAATACAAACAGGTTGTACAGGGTTATGCGAACAGTTGCCTGAGGACCACTCTGAAATATTTGCATCCAAAGCACTTGCCCTTTTCATCCATATGTTAAATACTTCTATTCTCATCCCCCCTCCCACCACCACTACCACTATGCACTGTGCGGGTGATTAGGGGGATAACACTTTTGTATTTATTTATTTGAGTTGTTTACTGTAACCTTAAAAGCAATGTTAATGATGCCTATGCCTCATACACAGCCTGTTTGAATAGCAGTTCTTTTTTCCGCAATTTTACCGATAAACATGTCGAGATGGAAATTGAACAGCAACACAATTTAAAGCTTTGTATGTAATTGCAGACAAGAGATGCTTTTACTATCCAGCCCCATCTTTTTTTTTTTTACCTTTCATAAATCTCAGCACTAAGCTTTTTTTAAAGTTAATTAAGCCCCACATATTTAATAGACTCGAGAAATGCTCAAGAGTATTGCGGAAAAAAATTAAATGTGAATGTATATTTGCTCTGTGAATGAAGGAAACAGTATAATGGGAGTAGATGCTTAATTCTGACATTCAGACATCATTTAATATAATACGATCATGCATAATCTTGCATTATCTTATGGGAAATCTTTCATATTTAGCATGAAGCAGATGTAAGCTCCTATTTACCAGCCTACCGGTTTCTCAAGCCAGGCTTACGATTCAGCCGCTGACACAATGCTTGCGCTACTGCAATGTGCCTTCTACCAACAGAAAGTAATGCATTGAAAGGTTACTTGCTCTAATGCAGAGTCTCATACTGTGAAACCTATTAACTTTGAGAAATCGCAGACACTTAAAAAATGTGGTTGTTAGGAAACCGTGCTGGTAACTCTAGATTTTCAGCTTCCGCAAAAAAGAAAAATTTCTCCAAACGGATATTTACAAAACCTGGCTTAAGGGATAACTTTCCACAATCTTTATGAGAAAAAAAATTATAATAATAATAATTCCAAAAAAGATTTTACCTGGCTTGATGGTATAACTCTGTATTATTTATACTTTACACACAATAACGTTTTATTCACTATTAGGTTTTTGTAAATGATTTTAGTCTTATTTGAGCACCTCTTCGAGACCTTTTCAAGATTATAGCTCCTTGATTTATTTTGCAATCATTTTACCTACGGTCTGTCCTTGGGAGATCGCTGCTTTGCTTCTAGAGATATATATTCCCGCTGTATAATTGTAAGGGCTGAAGAAACTGTCGGCAATATATAAATGATGTTAATAATTTATACAGTGCAATGAGTTAATACTTGCCCCTGTCTGATTTTATATTGTTGTTGCACATTCATCCCACTGGGATATATCCAACTGTGTAAATTTATCAAGGGAATGAAAAAAAAGGCAAACTTGGAAAAAAACGAAACGTCGTCCGGATCGTCTGTTTTGATTTAATAATAGCAATTTGCTTCTCGGTTCTCTAAAATTCGAGTTAGTAATTGGCTAGGTCACTGGGAGAGTTGTAGTAATACTGGTTGGGCCAAAATTCAAAGGAGGGTTTGAGGAGTCAATAACTTTTTTATTAATGAACCAATTTCAGTGCTATTACATACAATGATTGTGTAACGCAAGTTATTTTCCCGGTGCCATAATGATAATGAAACTGTGCTCTCCCCTGCCAGCTTTGCAGGACCAGAGATCTCCCTCTCCGGCTCACTAGTACTTTGCTGACAGCAGGCAGGGAGGGAGGCAGAGAGGACCCGGGGGAGCTCTAACCTGCAGCTCTGACGAGTTCTCCTCTTTCAAGCTCGGAGCGTTGCCGCGGTTACCACGGCAACGCTCCGAATCTCGCAAGAGTGAACTCTAGCAGCTCCTGAGGCTGCTAGAGTTCACTGTCCCCACTAGGACCACCAAGGATTGCAGGAAATGTCCCTCCTCCCAGGCAAAGGTAAGCAGGGGGAGGGGACATCATTTTTATTTTTAATAATAATCATAAAAAAAGTATATATTTATTAATTTGCCCTCCTACCCCCACACCACACAATAGCTCCCCCATACACACACACTGCCCCCATACAACACACAATGCCCCCATACACACAATTACCCCCATACACACACTACCCCTCCATACACACACACTAATCCCCATACACACACATTGCCCCCCAATCACACTGCCCCCATACACACACACTGCCTCCCACACACACTGCCCCTCCATACACACACATAGCCCCCAATCACACTGCCCCCCATGCACACACTGTACCCCTCACACACTCTGTGCACCTCGCAGAACCTGCCCCCTCACACACACTGTACCCCTCACACAACCTGCCCCCCAGACACATACTGTACCCCTCATGCACAAACTGCCCCACATACACACACACTGCACCCATCACACACACACACAAACTAAATCTTTCACAAACACAATGGACCCTTATACACACACTGCATCACTCACACACACATGCACACTGCACCCCTGTACGTACACACACACACGCACGCACACTGCACCTCTGTACACACACGCACACTGCACCCCTCACACACACACACTACAGCCCCTATCCCGGCAGACCACAGGCAAGTTGTCAAACTGTTTTTAAACAGTTTGACTACTTACCCTGGCAGGGCACTACTGGCACCATAACCACTACAACGTAATGTAGTGGTTATTGTGCCTGGATTGTTTCTATATATAATCTACCAGTGCCATGCCCAAGATTAGGAGCAGAGTATATGCCGCAGCGCTATTCATATATACAACCTAGAAATTGTTTTGACTTGGGGTGCCTTGGAAAAATATTGAAATATTAAGGGCGCCTTGAACCTAAAAAGTTTGGGAACAACTCGTTTATACCATTTCTGCTTGGATATTCTCCTTGAGCTGCTCAACTGTACACGGTTTGTTCACACACACTCGCTCCTTCAGATATCCCTACAGGAAGTAATCGGGAACTGAAAGGTCGAGCAAACAGGGCGGCCAATTATTCTGTGAATTTCTAGAAATGATCTGCTCATCGAACAGTTTCTCAGTTTTAAAACTAAAATTCAACTATTTTTACTTGTTGTTCCTTGAAAAATAGGTGCAATTACCTATGATGAACCTCCCAAGAATCAGTTATAATATGTACTTGCAACAAAAAAACTGAACTAACAAATAAGTTATTTACCTGTCAAATCCTACTCGGAAATTTTGGTCTACCTTGTATATATACACAAATGGTGTGAAGAAGAAAGAAAATATTATGGGTGTAGGAACTGGATGAATTCCCCTTAAAAAATGTAGGTATTTTTTTTAAGATTATATGTTTCACTGGTTAAAAAAGATAAGAAAAACAAAACATATATTAATAGAGTTGGTTAGTCTACTAAAAGACTCCCTAGTGATAATATATAACTTTGCCTGTAAGAAACTGGTTTAATGTTGCTCCGTACTTAATATGAAAGTCTGCCCTCACCCCCAGATTTTCTCTAGTTCCTATGCCGATGGTAAATATGTCTAAATCGCTTTTGGATTTAATTACCAAAAAAGCCCTGGAGATTAAGAGATTAATGTATAGTATAACTGTTCTGTATTACTGTATATATGGCAGACATATAATTTAACAAATTATATACTCTATTATCAGATAAGTCAAGCCACACAATACCTTTATGAGACACGTACGGTAGTTTTCTATAAGTTCTGCGGATTACCTAACAACCAGCTCTGTATTCCAGTGCGCTACAAGTGTATGGCTATTCGCACATGACGTGTATTTGGAGTGAATTTCAGGACATTTACACCAATATGTGACCGGTAGTACAGCCCCCGACTTATGGCCTGACTTGATTGGCTCCACTGCCAAGCAATCTGTCTTCGCAGCATAACACATCCTCTTAGGAGCGGGTACAATTTCCATGATTACTGAAATACCTGTATACACTTTTTTACTTACTAAATCTCCCTCTCAGATTAAAAAGATTACAGATTACTATAAAATATATAGTTTATTCTATAATCAGTGAGCTGTGGCAAGTTATATAATAATCCAGGTTGAAAAAGAAAAAAATACTAATATCTATTAAGGTCAACTTTTCAGACATTTGTGCGATTGATCTAAAGAAGATTAAAAATCTAATTTGAAGTAATTTTCTGTAAACGTTTGAAATAGTAAATAGCAATTTATTTCTTTACAAGTTCTTGGAGTGCTCTATTTTATGTGGTTTATTTTACCTGGCAGGAGGTGGACAACAGCTATCTGAAGGTTTAGATTATGAGAATGTGGCCTAATTAAGCCTGTTATTGTGTAATGGGGAGTAGGATATCTACATACCTCTCTATTAGTGAGCGTCCAGCAATTTGGTTGCCTGCACTTTACCAATCTTTTCTTTAACCCCTTAAGGACCGAGGACGGTTCAGGACCGTCATCGGCATTTTTGCCTTGCCGACCGATGACGGTCCTGAACCGTCCTAACGGTCTGGGGGTACTTACCTGATCGCCGTC